CTACACCCCAGATCCTGAACCCAAAAACCCTAGACCCTAAGCCCAAAGCCAACATGATAGTTTCCCCTATCATAGATAATTACATACTATAATCCTTACTATGGGGGGTTGCCAAAAGGTTTTTAGAAATTGCATAGAGCTCGTGTCCGGAGTTTTGGGCGCTTTTGACCGGGCTTTGCGGCTTTGTTTTAACCTTTGCTTGCCCTTGGCCCTGTACAATTTCTCTTTATCCCGAGCTTGAGCGTTTAGGGTTTGGGATTTGAGGCTTAACGATTTAGCGTACCCCTAATCTTGGGAAACCCTCATATCATTCCCTTTGCCCTGGTCCCCGGCATGCAAATCGCGCTCATCCAGCTCCGGCCAACGAAAAAGGCGGTCTCGAGCGGCGCGCGCCTGAGCTGCATGGCTTTCATTCAAAAAGCAGAGTCTCTCTACAGATGTGTACATTTATGTGTGAACATAGAGGCCACGGGTTTTATAGGGAATATATTGTACAGAAATTTTATACTGGCTTATATGAGAAGGATTAAGGGGTTATATGGGGATTACATGGGGTTCATATGGGCGCTTTACACGGATTATGTGGGAGGTATGTAAGAGGATCATCCCCAAAATGGAGAACCTCTAGTGGCGAACATGAAGTGGTTAATTCATATGTAAAAACATAGCTACGTAGGAATATCACGAATCACTAGCGCTATCTGTGATCGCAATTCTCAGCATTTAGCCACTTGGGCTTGCTTCAGGTAGTCCAGTTTTGCACTCATCTTGGGATGGCCGGTACAGTAGATTTGCTTGGCTTCGCATACCGACAAGCACGAGTTAAGAGACTGGATTATCGACGATGTCACGGAGAAACGCGCATATCCGCAGCTCAACATCAATCAGGCGCAGGCAACTTCCAAGGCTCAGGCCACTGCATCCTGCTCTTCGGCCGATAGCCGGCCGTCGTTCTCGTAGCCCTGGCCCACTGCTCAGAGGCACTGAGAAGATTCCACGCAAACAGCACAAAAGCAGCGTTCCGCATACGCGGTAGACTCAGAAGCTCGCCTTCCCCTGCGCCCAATCGATGTTCATCGCCTGCATGTACTCATGTAAACCTTCACCCTCCCTCCTGTACATCTGCAAGCAACGTCAGTAGCAGCAGTAGCATCGCCGAGATTCTGGCCGTATAGGTGATGGTTGCATCATGGTACTTCCTGGCCACAAGTAATCAGCCCAGAAGGCTTCAAGCTTGCGTCTGCTCAGTCCTCCAAACTTGCAAGCGCAGACTAAGTGCCATGCAATCATCTCACTCACTAGACAAGTCGAGGATAATAACAAGAAAGCATGGGAGGAGATCCGGCACAAGAGGAATATGAAAAGCTGCAGAAGCAGAACGTGCTTGATTTCTGCTAGTCCCCGTATACCGCTGCGCTTCCGCCGGTGTCACTCCAACTGCTTCAGATGCAGAATAAGTTGCTGAAGACGCGCCCCAAACTTTAAGCAGCCGATGAGACACCTCAACTGCGAAACTCCTAGGGCATCCGCTCTGTCCCTTAGCCTATGGAAAGCCAGGAAGGGATGCTTGGCTAGACTAGGTACCGACCGAGACCCCAGGAATCCGTGTCAAGACCTTGGAGTTGTGCAACACTTGTAGAAACTCCCTGGCAGGTCTGCGGTCCTGTGCAGGTCGACAGTGTCTTGGTCTAGCCCAAGAAGGTTGTCCTCTTGAGCTTGCCAGGTTATGGGGACTATATAGGGCATATAGTGGGATCATCTAGGGGTAATGGCAAAGACAATGGTAGCTACGATAATGGGGATGTGTATTCATCAAGATTTCAAAGACCTAAGAGGGCGTACATCTGAAATCTGGGACGTGTCTCTTGGCACAAGTCACGGCTGCAATCTTACACCTGCCCAAGTTACGCCGTGGCAGAGCAGGTTATCCGGTTCTGCCCGAGAATTTTGCATTGTAGGGACTAGAATAGAAGAAGGTTTTGACAAGTCCATCTCTCAGCTGCCTGGATTGGCCCCTGATACCCTTTAAAAAATGTTCATATATAGGGTCCCTTATTAAAGCCATTAGGGAAATCTTAAATATCCCAGGGGCCTACCCAGCTGTTAGTTCTGATTTCAGAAGCAACAGGTCGGTTCCTCCGAGACAGCAGCAAGCTGCGTTTGCAAGCGCTGGCGGCCTGAAGTCTGTAAACAAGGCAAGGGGAGGAGTCGTGATATACATTGCAGGGAGGGTAATAGGGATAATGGAAAAGAAAATGGAAACTACTATAATATTGGGGTTATGAAGGGGTTATATAAGGTATATTAATATGGGGGTTTTCCAAAATTAGGGGTACCCTTTTGGGGGTCCCAATAATAAGGACTATAGTATTTTGGGGGTACCTTCTTGGGGTCCCCATGATAAGGACTATAGTATTTTGGGATCTGTATTGGGGTCCACCTATTTTGGGAAACTGCAGGTACGCTGTCAACATGATGGTCTTGGCCCAATACCCTAAGACGTAAACCCTGAATCCCAAACTCTACTATCAGCGACTTAGACAATAGATTTTATCCCCTTACTAACGCCATTGCACGTCTATTTTAACCCTTGAAAATATTCTACCCCTTGAGTAGCCCCAGGGCCAGGGTCCAACAAAAGCAAGCCGTATACAACCCTAAACCCTAAACAGTAGTTTCATGTCCCATTGTTTTAAAATTTGGTTCTCCATCGTTGGGTTAATTTCCCTAAACCCTACCCACGAAGTAAACAGGAGGAGTGCATTGGCACTCGGCCCGCCTCTCCACTGGCCTACGAAGCAGGACCCTCGCCACCTGGATGCGCGAACGCGAAGTGAGGATGCTGGGATATGGGGATTAGACTGTAGTCTCCATATTCCTTAGACCTATAGTAAAAACTGTACCGGCAACTATAAGGGATAATGGAAAAGAAACATGGAAGCTACTTTTTAGGGTTTAGCATCATGTTAGCTAGACCCCCCACCCTGTAATAGTGATACAATAGGAAAATAAGTGGCCCCTAATATGATCACCATTATCCCTTATAGGTGGAGGTCCACCTAAGGGCTCTTGGCCCCTTAGACGTATACGAAAACAACATGTTCAATAGCTTCTGATCGTTCTACCATGCTAAAAATGAAAAGACTGCCGAAGGTGACTACAGCACATAGGGATACAACCGGACATGTAGGGAGACATGAGAATGAATGCGCACAAGGACAGGACCCTAAGTACTGAACATGCCCATTTGAGCTATAGTCCAACTCCTTAAAGGGGGTTATATGAGGGATTTTATAAGGGAGTACTATAGGAGTGATTCAGGGGGATAGTAGGAGTTTANNTTAGACTATAGCTCATATGATGAAAACATTGAGACCCACGGGACCATACACCCATGCAGAAAGTATACCTCAGCATCCAAAGGACCACTGTAGGGAATGCAGACCCGATTTTTTACCATGTGCTCAGGGCCTAGCCAACTCTGGCCGCTGCGGAGTTTCAGATCCCCATACGGAATTTTAAAACAACTGTGAGATCTCCGCTCCATACCCCACAATACAATGACCCTTCTTCAGGAACATATCCAGGTGAGTAACTACCACGGAAGCGCCCTTGCCTTAATACCATTCCTCTTTTATATCCCCTTATATACACCAAAACAATTACATGCCTCATTTCCAGTATAAAGAACCCCTGAACCACCCCAAACCCTAACCCAAGCCTAAACCGATGATCATTCGTAGTAGTTTGTTTTAATTTGGGACCCTCCAAACCTGAGCTTTCCCTCCTTGTAAACGGCGACCCACAGCTCAGAACAAATTCAGGACCCTTACTTTAGGCTTTGGGGTTTAGGGAT